AAGATGGAGGGAAGAGGAGGGGCATCGGAGGGGAGGGGGAGATTTGTTGGAAAGCTCTGGAAATGGGCCTCCATCCCCAAAAGGCTCAGGACTTGGGATTCACGGCATCATCAGCAAGACATTAATAAGACGTTTTTATCTAGGGTGCCCCTGATCGTAAAGCTGGGTTAAGAAATAGCCCCTTTCCACCTAATAAATGGACCCTCTCTTATTCCCCACTTAAGCCTTTGGTTTAATCTTGGGAATTCCAATGTGTCTCCAGCTTCAGAGATTTATTTGAAGGCAGGACTAGGTTGAGGGAAACTTGGTTATCCAAGTCCTCAAAACACTTCCAAAGCAAGGACGCATGATATACATTTAATAAAACCCACAGTGTGTGTCTTGCCCCCAGAGTGACAGTGATACTCACTCCCGTGATTTCTTAGAGACATGCACAGATGGGATGATTTGTATGTGGACCAATTTCCTCAGAGCGCAAATACAAGAGTCCAAGACTTAATTATGTGTGGCGGGAACCACAAGAAACATATCTGTTTAGATATAGATCTCGGTCTGGTTCCAAGTTGCTTGGTGGAGGACGCATACCCTCGGAAGAGCAGGGGAGTGCATGAACTCAGCTGTCAGAACTTTGTCAGGAAAGTAAAAAGAACTTTAGGAAACGGGGCTTTGGAGTGGTACTGGTGGGTTGTTAGGGAAGCTCTGGCACCTTCAATTCTGAGGATGTCAGGACCACCTGTTTTGGCAAAGGCATCTTTGGTGCCCGGGAAAGAAGCAGCTGGGACTCACGGGTCAGGGAGCCCTGAGCAGAGACAAAGGGATGGGCAAACTCTGTCAAGGACGGTGTGTGCAAAGGCCCTGGGGCAGGAGGCACCCAGTAAAGGGTGGGGGCATTGGCACTTCATGGAGAGCTATATGGGCGCCTCACCCCCACATTATATAAACATGTAAAGGTTTTATATATACAACCACACTGGGTCACAAGCATCATCCCAGCTCAGGGTCAGCCCTCCCTCTGAGCAGGAGGAAATGCCGGGACAGCTGCAAATGTCTGGGGCCCCTCGGCAGAGGGTCTGGGCTCTGCTGTGCACACGCTGCCCATGGGCACTGGTGATTTGCTTCTGCTGCCCGTGGGGGTCAGAGTGCTCTTGTCCACAAACTTGCGAGTATCCAGACACGAATGGAGGTTTGAAGGGACCCCTGCGGGATGATGTATCTCTTCCCTGCAGGATACCTGAACGACGTGGACCATGATGGTGGACGCTACCCACCCAGGCCCCGGCCCAGGCCACCTGCAGGTAGGCAGGCACCCCCGGATGTGCCCAGAGAGGGTGGGCAGTGAGGCCTGAGGTCACAGGGTGAGGGCCACGACGTTGGGATTGCATGTATAACATGTGGTCATTTCCATGTGTGGAGCAGTGGGTTTCTGGGTGTAGACTTAGCCTTCTATTATACCGGCATCCTTATAATTCTGCATATGTGTGTATATAAGCTTTTATGCATAGCTGTGTATCTCTGAGTGTGTATGCACTTTGTAATACATGTATGTCTATACATTTTTATAC